GAGAGAAGAAACTGTTAGCTTAGAACTTACGGTTACATCTAGACACTTCAACTGTAAGATGATGGGACTTTACTGCCAATCTATTAGTACGTTTAAATTCATAAAGTCTAGGTACCACAGAGGAAAGCACATCAGAACAATTACCATAAAATTATTTATAGAAAAGTCATAGGGCAGCTACGTTACGGCGCTAGGAAAGGGACTAAAGCCGAGATGCCATGTCAGGACCAATAAAATTGCAAGTTCCTTGTGTTTTATCAAGAATCTTTAAATACATAGTAAAAGCACCAGACCAGATGTGACAGCAATATTCAATGCGTGGACGAATGGTAGACTTATAAATATGTACGATACATTCACAGTGAATCAACTTTCAAAAACTTTGTTTTCTTATACTACTAAAATAAATGGTATGTACGTGCTGTTATACATGGTATAAATGTTGCTGAAAGTAGATTTATTCTTAATTTCCAAATATGTACATTGTAGCATTGTTCATAATTAAAGATATTAAGTGGGGGTCTCTTGTTTTTTTTGTTTTTTTTTATATAACAAAGGCTTCTGTTACTTTTAAACGTTTTAGTAGAGGGAGGTGCATATTACATCCATGTACGCTGCGGATGCTTTTTAGAACATTTAATAGGCTTTTATTTTAATAAAATGAGTGTATTATCGAAGGCTAGTGGTTCCGAAACACGTCTCTCAGTCTAATATTATTGTAGTGAATTTGATACTTACTGGGTGTTTGGCCTTTTGTCAGACGAAACCTAGCGCAGTAGTTGAATGGAAACAGAGGTCCAGACGAAGACGAATGCTAGCTCGACTACACATAGGTCACCCATACCTCACCCATTCATGCTTGCTGAAGAAGTAAGATCAACCAACATGTACAAGATGTCCCACTACACTCCCGATGAAAGACATTTTAACCGAATGTACTTACTTAGCCACTATAAGACATAAAAAACTATAGGGTGACTACTGCAAAACTGAAGAGTTTGAGAAAGTCATAACTTCTACATTTTCAATCTTTGTTTTTTTTTTTAGAACAACCCTTGGAGATTAAAATGGCTACGTATAAAGTCGAGCAACGAGTAAAACTTATCGAGTTTTTCTGTTCCAGCGAAAGATCAATTATTCAAACTATACCGGCTACGTTTTAATACCAGATTATCTCCTAGAGATAACATGATTCGAAACTTAACCGCTCGGTTTGAAAGAACTGGATCAGTCAGCGATCTTCTGGGAAGAGGTCCTAAGTTCCCTGTGCGCACAGAATCAGGGGTGTAAACTGTACGGCAGAGTATCCTTGAGGATCCATCATCTTCTTTCCGTCGTCGATCTGCTCGACTAGGCATCGCCAGAAAATCGCTTCAGAAGATTCTGACATTGGATTTAAGAATATTTCCATAAAAAGATTCACATGCTCCAAACTTTACTACCCCAACATACTCATGTTTTTGTAAAAGTTATTTTTTTTTTTATATCCTTCAGTCTTTCAGAAGCCTTGCTGCTGGATGTAGTCTATCGTCATACCTAGGACTCCTTAATAAAAACGTGATTCCAACTCAGAAGGACGGGTCACTGGCACAGATATTAAACTCCCACCTTGGAGGAAGAATGCAACTGTCAACGATCTTGATCTACACGACTTTTCCATTTGTCGGTTTGAACAGGAAAGTAGAATAGTCGTGTAGATCAAGATCGTGTAGCGCCAAGGATTGGACACACATGCTACGTTCTCAGCTTACGTGAAAATGCGTAAAAACAAATGGAATAGTCGTATAGAAAAAATGAGAGAATCAGACACATACTATACATTGATCACTATCTATAAAAGGCAGGATGTGTGTGTGTGTGCGTGTGTGTGTGTGTGTGTGTGTGTGTGTGTAATGAATGCACGGCAACAATTTTCGACGGATTTTCACCAAAATCTACATGCACATGCTCCAAGTTAGCAAAAAGGTCAAGACCGACTTTGCATTTCCCAACTCACATCGATAGTGGAAATAATCGATTTTTTCATGCTTCTACGGCAGTTTTCATGTAGTTTGCGGCCATTTTCTACGGGCCAGAGTGAGAGCCTATAGCTGGCTGCCACGAATAGGCAAGAAGATTCTATTGGTCAGCCAACAGCTGACTGACACGAATGTTAACTAGCATGCTAGCATGCAAAAAAATCGATAGCTGCATTCGTCACAAGTGGGAAAAATTTAAATCTGCATGGCACTTTACTCCAATTGGCTCATTCGCTTGCTTAAACTCAACGTTGATTCTGATTCCGCAGAACTGGGTTGGGTGTGAAAAAGTATTTGTATTTAACATTCTTTTTTCATTCGGTTTTTCCAGTTACGAGTCCTTTTTTAAAACTGATCGTTTTGTGTTCATTTTGTTTAGTTCTTTTTTCGTAACAGATTTAATGTTTAGTATAGAGCTTAGAAAAATTCGCAGTGTGAGATAGGCAAGAAGTAAGGCATGTATCAACATCAGCACGGCAAAGGGCACTCCTTTAAAGGCAAGGAAGGGCAAAAATATTTTAAGTCAAGTGATAGCGATTGCTGTATGAGTCGTACGATTTTTTGGATCAAGCACGGGCAACGCCGGGCCATGCTGCCCGTCCTTAAAAGAAACGCGTCATGGTCATGTGTACAAACAGACATAATAATAAGATAATATTATTACTATATTTACTAAGCCTAGTTGATTAACGATTGGTTAGTTGATTTTGTTTAGCAGCATATCAACACTTCAATGGGTCATTTGATGCCGAAATAGAAATATTTTGAACAATTTTATGGTTTAAACTAAATATTTTGAACACAATTATATGCCTTCAACTACAGATAAAATGTATTGTTTTACTATAAACATGTATTGCTAGTCGTTTTTGTGTAAAAAAATTATTGCTGGTATTTTTACTATAAAAAATGTATTTTATACTTTCATAGTGTTTTGTCTGGCAGTTCACTATTTGCCCACAGCTGGGACCCTAAAAGGTGCTACTACCCTGGGTAAGAATGAACCTGGGAACAACAACAATTAAGAGATAGTTTCACACTCTTCAAAGCCTCCAATCTCCCAATCAGAAGCTTTGCTGCTGGATGTAGTTTATTGTCATACCCAGGACTCAAAGAAAGAAACACATATACATGTTCGATATAATTACACGATTTATTTTAACCTATACTTATTTGACCAGTACCCGGTTTGCTAAATTTTTGAGGAAGAATTAATACTCAGATTGCTTAAGGAACTTGTTGAGAGTTACAAGGGATAGAGGGAGGTGGAGAGCCATGATCGCCTACGTCCTGAAAGGACACGGCACATAAAAAGAAAAGAACGGATTGTTCAGGAAGGCCTGGAGAATCTGATACTCACAGGTCGAATAGAGGGAAAAAAGAGACAAGTGAAAACAACGCCTGTCATACCTGGCGGCCTTAAGCAAATGAATGACAGAACGTGGTTTGGGGGAGGTGGCAGAGGGAAGGAACTTGTTGAGAGCTGCAAGGGATAGAGGGAGGTGGAGAGCCATGGTCGCCTACGTCCTGAAAGGACACGGCACATAAAAAGAAAAAGAAATATTGGTCAAAAGTGGAACTGACATTGGGGGCCTGAAATCCCAAAGGGACAACATTTTACAGAATATGGTTAGAATCATTTCCGTACAGACTTCATATTTATCAGGATTCTAAGAAATGCTATTTTTCTTTTTCTCGACGATTCTTCGGAAACAGATTTCTTTGAGGAATTCATCTTGTCAAAAATAGTAAGATTTATACGCTTGGAATTTTCAAAACAGGAAAACATAAAAAAATAATGCCTTTTACCAAAAAACCAGAAACGTTCTACTACTACTACTACAACTACTACTAATAATAATAATATCAGGATTTGAAAATCTTTTACGGAAACAACCTTCTAATTCATCTTCCTCTAGTTTGGCAGGCGGCCACCCAAGAGGCCAACTGCTGAAGACGGCTGTCTTCTTTAAAGACAGCTGCTGCCCCTTTGACATATCTTTACCGTTGATGGGACATCGACTACAAGCCGCAGATAATTGTTACGTCATGGCTCTTCAGGGAAGAATTCATTGATTCTAGAGTGGGTAACTACGAAAGACTTGGACAAAGATAAGCAGAGATATTATTTAGTCTGATGATACCGACCAGGCGTTTCTGAATTTATATGCCGAACGTGAGAACAATAGCTCGTAAAAAGTCTTGATTCCTGCGCATGCAATTTAGATTTCCCACCAAAGGAACGAAACGTTGTTATTTGAAAAACAAAGAATATCAAAGGAAAAAAATAAATAAATAAGAAAGAGAGAAAAAGGGGAGATAATCAAAATAGAAAAAAACAAAGAATAAATAAAAAGGAGAAAATAAATAAAAAGAAAAAAAGAAAGAAACGAATGAAGTAATAAAGAAAGAGAGTAATAACAGAAAAGGACGACAGACAGAAACGAAAAACATAAAGAAAACAAAGAAAAGATAGTAAAAAAAAAAACTTTTTTTACATCATCATCATCATCATCATTATCTGCTTGACTTTTATAATCATAGGGGGTGTGGATCCGAATGCAGAAGCCATATTGAATCTCTTCCACAACGGTCTATCAACGGCAGCCATCAGCAATTCTGGTAGAGTCATACTTGTCCATTGTTTGAAATTGTCCATCCAGTTTTTGCGTTGGCGCCCTCTCCTACGTACACCTTCAGCGGTGCCTTGCAAGATGGTCTAGCACAGGCTCTCGTGACTTGTAACGTGTCCAAACCATGCCATTTTCCTCCGTTTGATTGTGGCAAGAAGAGGTCCCTGATGGCCAACAAAACTTCCAACTCTTTTCCGCACAAACTCATTGTTTTTATGTTTTTTACAATATATATATATATATATATATATATATATATATATATAGAGAGAGAGAGAGAGAGAGAGAGAGTGAGAGAGAGAGAGAAAGAAGGAAAGAAAGAAAGAAACTGGGATAGATAAGAACATAC